TATAAATGTTTACCAATCAACGAATTATTCTGTTTATTTTAAATGTTCCATTTTCATTAAATAACGATTTTTTATTAAGAGTAAATATCAATTGTTCAGAAATTGAATAGTACCGTCTAAAATTTTGAAATATCAATGAACAATTTCTAAAAGTACTACTAACAATAACTCATCGTGTCCACTCAATAACCATTCTTATTTTCAGCCGATATTTCACTGTCAATTGAATGGTATGTTTGCTTTTTTAATTCAAATTTTGTTTAAGGTAAGGTTCGTATAAGGCACAAAAAAGTGGTAAATGTGTGAAAAAATGCGATGGTATTTTTTTTCATCAGAAAAAATTTCATTAAATACGAAAGAGTTCCTCTTCAAAGTTGAAAAATTTTTTCAGAAAATGGAAATTTTTAATAATTCAAAAATTATTGTAATAATTAAACCATAACTTTAGCAAATAATATTTGCTGCCCATTCTAATGATGGAATATTTTGGGTAGTGTTAATTTTAGTTTTTCTTTTAATTTTAGTTTCTCTATTTTATTCTCTTTTTTTCTTGAAATCGTTTGAATCGTTTCAATTTGAATTACCTAAAACATATTAGTTACTTTGAATTACCGAATAAAAGTGCTTCAATGTACTTTTAGACAAGCATCGTTTATCACCCCTATTGTGTGCTGATAAGAATCAATCCGTTGAAATGCTGCCAATTGGAATTGCGAGAAAATGTACACTACAAAATCCAACTTGTTCCAATGGGTAAAGCATTTTTAAAAATTATTTTGAAATATCTTTTGTTTAATACACATTATTTATTTTTTTCTAAATGACATTTTTACTGTTAAGTAATACTTTTTTCCCTTTTATTCATTTAAAAGAAGCATAAGATTACTTTTAAATAGTACTTAGTTTTATTTTTTCCTTAGTTGAATTACTTTAAAATTCGACGCTTTCATGCTTCGCTTCATTTTAAGTAAATATAATTTTCCCCTCTTTCATTTTTTTAAACAATGATTTCGTTATTGATTTGATCATTTCAGCAAAAAATAAAAAATAAAAAATAAAAATAAATATAATATAGGTAACATAAAAGGATTATGGTCATTTAGAATCAATTTTGACTATTCATATTCTGATTTTCTTTCTATCTATTCATCATACGCTATTCATCAAATTTGAAATTAATTATTTGCCATAACTTGAAAAATTTATTGGCTAATACTTTGTCTGACCAAAATATTAAGCATAAGATAGTAGCTCCATATTTATCTTATTCATATGAATTATCGAAATTGAAATAATGCAATCTTTTTAGTTCCTTTCTTTTATGCAAATTATATATTTATTATTTTTTTCTTTGGCTCAAAAATGAGAGCTTTACAGTTATTCATGTGAAGCAAGCACTCGTCCAGGTATTATGCTGTGCTGTTCGCTTGTAAGAAATATGCTACCGTATAGCTGCCCATCTGCTAAACAAATCCCAGCAATATCCGGAAATAATAATAATGTGTATTGCACTAAACCGGGCCAAAGTTATGTTTGTCCAGCTGGGTAAATTTTTCCTCCCATAATGAGTAATTTTAGCAAGCAAAGTACACTTCAGTATTTTTATTTGAAATTGCAACAATTCAATTACCAATTAAATTTTACTAATTACAATTAATCCGCATAAGTTGGGTAATTAAGGCGAAGTATTATTTGCAGTGCTATATGTAAAACAGCTGCTAATTCATTAAATGTTTACATATGTTGCTATGAGAATCAGAAAATTCCACATTCAATAAGTATCAAACCGGAATGCCAGAATCGTGCAATAGCACAATCCGGAACAAGCAATAGCTTTGTATCATGCAAGCAAGACGGCAATAGAGCAGATGAGTGTGCTGAAGGGTGCATTAATGTTTTTCCTTTTTTTAATTCAAATTTCAATTTAATTTTTTTTAGAAACCTTTTATTCGTCTCTTAGTTAATTGAAATAATTCGCAAGAAAATAATTCGGATAAAAGGACATTTAAGTACTATTATTTTGGACTACACTAAACTGTTATCAATTTTAACATGGCTTAAATCAAATTTAATCTATAATCCTGTGCTGTGTGCCTTATTTAAAACTTTATCTTACTGTATTATCCAACCTTGAAAATGGTTTGAAAGAGGACCAAACATTCCACCTTCCTTCCTTACATCACTAAAATACGATGATAGATGCAAGAAACCGAATGTATTAATTCCGGAAAACATACATCTTAAGAAGTTAAAGCAAATTAATAAATGCTGCTACTCTTTTTGCCGTAATATTTTAAAATATTGTTGATTACATTAAGAGTCTAACATTTTTTTTTAGCTTACTTTTCAAATTTCAAATAAATATTTTAATTTAAGGTATTGAAATTTTAGCTATAGTTGTTCCCAAGCAACAAACGTTCGGGATCAATATATTTGCTGTTCTATTAAAACTAATCTGCCGGCAGTACAATCAATTTGTCCAGGACAAAAGAAACTTTTGATGGTCGGTAAAAAAAATTGTTTTTTTTTCAGACTTATTTCACCAAAATTAATTTTAAATGCTTCAAAAATTTATATTTGATTCTCATTGTGATATAATTCTTGAAATTAATTTGGAAAAAATATTACAACAAAATATTGCTAAATAAAATTGAAATGTGTACATATTATAAAAGAATATTAGTTGTTAATCAGTTAATTTAAATACAAATTCTTAATTATTTATCGTATCGTATTTTTCTAGTATGATGATAGTACGCCTTATTATTGTTCTCCAACTCAACCAGTACCATGCCCGACAAATTACATTTGCAATAAAGTTATCGGCGAATCTGATACTTACGTATGCTGCAGCGAATTATCACCTATAACTGATCATTGCCCGTCTGATTTTACGCCAAGTTTAAGTGAAAATGGCGAAAAGGTACTGAACTTAATTAAATTACTCAAATTCTAAAGTTGTTATTATTTTATTAAACGGATAACCAAATATGCGACATCTACAGTCAAATATTCCATGTCAAAAAAACTTTAATATCAATTACTATCTTCAACATAGTAATATTAGCTAACCTGTAAAGACCTTTTTTTCCTGGATATTGGGAAAATTTTAATGAAACATAATCTGATTCAAAGGAAAAATGAAATAATCCTAAAACAATTCATTACTTATTTGTTTAACATTCAATTTGCGTTTGGTCATTGTTTAGCAAACGTTTGTTAAAACAACAATAAGATTTGATAGGCAAATAACAAAACAACATTACCTCAGCAAATAATACATAAATGGAAACAAATGGATAAATTATTAAAAATGATAACCCATCAAATAATTCTAATTTTCCTTTCTATGTTATAATTTTTAAAAATAATTTTAAGGATTTTTTTATCCGGAAGATATGAAAAAAAAAAGAATAGAAAAACGAAGGACTAATCATTTAATAAGCATATTCTGCGATAATTGAAATTTAGATTTATTGTACACCAAATGATCCATTAACATGTCCTGTTACCGCTATTTGCATGGAATCTGTAAGCAATACTGATATATACTTGTGCTGCTATAGCTCATTACCAAATAGAATATGTCCAGATGATCAAATTGCTTCTGGATTTTCTAAAGGTCAAGTGGAAGTATGTAATGGAGCAGGTGCTTCATGCAGTCAGGTTTGTGACACTTTTTTTATAAGAAAAATTTTTGCAATCTTCATTTTGTTGCAAAAATTTTTCATATTTTCTGATATTTGAAATTTTAGAAACTTTTTCGAGAATTAAGAAAAATGTTTTGCAGTAATGATTCTAATGCTTGCCGACATAAAGTAATAATCATAAGGATCGAAAGAAATATAAGTATTTTAGCATTTACAAATAAATTATTTACTTTTTAATCATTTGCAAATAAATCATTTACTGAAAAAGCTATTGTCGGTCAAGAATGGAAAATCTGAAATCATCTATAATCATTAGTTCAATAGATGTATGCAAAATCATCAACTTGATATACTGTCGAATAAATAAACTTCTGATAAGTCTTATAATATTTTTGATTAAAACTAACAGCATTTGAGATATATTTCAAGCTTCATTCAAATTTAGAGTGGGTATACGTGTCAAGTCTCACGTGTATTATCTACATGGATATGTTGTGGACATTCCATTACAATGGCTCTTTGTGCAGATGGAAGAGAAACATTCTATCAAATTGAAGGTATAAAATTATTTATTGTAAGGAGAAAGGAAGTAAAATGAACTTGATATATGTTATCACTATCTTACTTTTGTTCCATTTATTTATTAGTGATGTATTGTTAATTTTGGCAAAAATTCGATTATTTAAATAAATAATCGCCATAATTTCGAATTCCTCAATCTTTTGTTTGAACATCTTCTATAGTTAATTGAATAAAATTGATGAATTCTTTTGATAAAATTTCAGGTCAAACTTATGGATGCAATCCTACCTCTTATCCTACTAATTGTCCTGTAAATTACGAATGTGCACAATCGAATCATCCAAATATATCAGTATGTTGTTTAATATCGACAACTACTAGTAAAACTACAAGCTTTACAAGTACCGTACCAGTCTTGGTAAAAATGATGATTAAAACAGCAGCAAGAACACCAGCTACAACAAAAGAAGCGACAATGTTAACAATAACAACAACGGAAGCCCTAAAACCCGAATGCCCAACTCTTTGGCAACCATATGTAGATTATCAAACAGGTGATAATCAATTTTGCAATGGTATTGCTGATAAGAGGTAATTATAGTTTTTTGAAAATCTAAATCTTCCAATTTTGAAATAGGAATAGGTATTGGAAAAACAGTGATGGCAAAATTAAATAATTGAACGGAAAGAAAAATGAAAATTGGCAATTGAGCAAGTAATATAATGGAAGTATATTTGACAGAAAAAAATTTAGCAAAATGAAATTTTGATAAATTTTAGGAAAAGGATGAATTATCACAAATTTAACCATTCGATTAAAATTTTAGTTGCTCTTTTGGCTATTCCTGTACACATTCCACATATTACGGTATCTATATGTGTTGTCGTTTTGGAAGTGGTCTTCAATGTGCAAGTGGTACAAATATATTATTGATAAATAATCAACCACGTTTATGTAGTATTACTAATGCTCATATTTGTCCATTGGGTTATTCATGTCAGATTTCCACACTGGTTAGTTTAACACTTAAAGAGCAAAAGCATATGAATAAATTATATTTACAACAGTTTTGTAATCGACAAATGATTTTACAGTAGTACCACAAATTTGAATTATCTTATAAGATTGTATTACGGTTCTATTGATATCACAAAGCTAAGCCATTTGTGTTAGAGCAATCATTTCAAAAAATTAAATTCTACAAGATAAATAATAAATTCGCATCGCAGAGGAAGAGGGTGAGAGAAAGAGAGAAAGATAGATGAACTAATAATAGCCATTTAACAAATTTTCGACAGGTATATTAGTTTTTCAATCCTAATAATATTTGCATAATCACCTCATTATAATAAATTACTGGGTAATTTAGACAAATATCCACATTTGTTGTGGTAATATTCATGCTGAAGATGAGCGAACGATTATTCCAACATCATTTGGCAGTGATATCAGATGTCAGCATGATTTATCAATTCCTGCTCATATCCATTATCATTACATTCGTTTCTGTCCAACGTTGGGAAGTTTTAACGGATGTCCTCAAGGCTATATTTGTTCCAAGTCTAATCGGCCAAATTTGAACGTTTGCTGTCAAATGATTGTATCATCATTCAAGTAAGGAATACAAATAATCACTATTTTTTTTTTACGTTTTGCTCATTTTCTTTTTATTTGATTGTTCAAAAATTTTAATTTTTAAAAATTTCTTAAATCAAATTATAAATGCTGTAAATTCTTTCTGAGAAAATACAAATTTAAAGTAGAAAGAAACATGGAAGTAAAGGGTGAGGGAAGGGGGGTTTAAAAGAATGGATTAGTTGACAATTTGACAATTTGATTCCCTTGTTATATTTGTTAAAGACAAATAGAAAGAAATATATTAAAGAAAAATATGCATATTAAAAAGCTACAATTATTTTATGTGAACAAAACTACAGTAAAACTGGTTATCTGTTTGATACTTATTTGATAATCATATTTGTCAAGTCAAATCTTTAATTTGAAATTATTAACCGTTGCTTGAAAATCACTTTAAAAGATTTTTTGGTCACTAACAATAAAAGTCAAGCCAGTGGAAGCAGTTTGTGGTAAAAATGGATTGGCATATCACCAGGATGGAAAGCCATTGGAGTGTTCAGAGGATACAGAAAATATTTGTCCTGAGGTGAGATAAAAGTGGCACACTGAAATATTGACTTTGTTGAATACTTGAGTACTTCAAGTGTTACTTCATAAAAACATTTCCCTTTTCATTTTCTTTTTTTATCTCTCCGCCTTTAGACTTGTTGTGTATCAATTTGAAATTTGGTAGGAATTTTACGCGAATATTTTAGTATAATTAATAAAAATATGTAAGATAAAAATACATGAGAAGCTCTACGTCTTTTAATCTATTTGAAATTCAATTTTTTTAATCCCTGAAAAATTAGTAATACATATGGGAAGATTAAAATGGAAACGAATCATTGTACAGTATCAAAGATTCAAGTTTACTTTTGAAGGGTAAAGACTTGGAAATACTAAGTTGAAATATTTGGTGATTTATTTAATCTTACTAAAACTAAAAGTAATAACACAACATTTGAAAGTTTATTCTTTAAGCATTACGTCTGTCAACCATCATTAACGAATACGAAAATGTATTGCTGTTTGACTGAATTACATTGCTTATCCAGTGTAACATCACCAAGTGTTATCAAATATTGTGAACAGTTAGCTGATTGTCAATCAGACGAAGAATGTAAAGAAGTCATCAATATGAATGGTAAATATTATATAATTGTTTCCAAATGTTTCATCATATTTTTTAAATTTTCACAAAATTCAACCACTATAAAACAAAAAATTTCTATAGACATTACACATTAATACTCTCCTATTTATGTTAAATTTTTATGATTTTAATCGAAAATTGTAAAACTAATTTTAGTTTAGGAATACATATCTGTTGTCCGAAATCCATTCAAGAAAAAACACGTTGCTTAGGTCGGGAAACGTTCCTGACTGATTCTATTCCGGCTTTATGTTCATCAACAGCAAATTGTCCGGATGATTATGAATGTTCCAATCTTACCACAACAAATGAATATACTTGTTGTAAGGAAACAAAAAAATTGATCCAAATTTGTCCGGATAATCGGTATGTTTTCAATCTCCAATTATTTTTTAACCTTTAAAAAAAAAGAAAAAGAAATACTTTACAAACTATGGATTTTTCATCGATCCGTTAATTTCGTATGCTTTCTTATGGAGCATAATCTATTCGTATGTTAAAGCATACAAATTATTGATTTTCTCGTTTTTTGCAGAGATCCGTTCCGCAAATTTGCTGATGATACACTTTTCTATTGTGATAATAATGATTTCTCATGTCCAACAGGTTACTTATGTAAGCAGTCATTACTTAACAGATTCATTTGCTGCTCACCAATAGGTTTCTGTCCAATTGGAAAAAAAGCGCAACTGGATGCTGCTACGAATCAAGCCAAACGGTTAAGTTTTAACAGAAATTAATTTTTAACTTGAAGTAATTTACCACATTTTACCTATTAAATTTACCTTTATCAAGTTACCGGTTAAGTGATATTGCAACAGTTAGAGATGTGTTTAGAGAATTTTTTTTTTTTTTGAAAACAGTTTAGAGAAATTTTCACAAAGGTCTTTTGAGAGTCTAGTTCATTTATTTGAAAATTTTCAGGTTTTTATAATTTTTCTAGAAAAGATTAGCTAATCAGAACATGCATAATTATTGCCGGAATTTTCAAATGATAGTGAAAGGAATAATTAGATACACAATAAGAAACAGAGAAACCGGAAAAGTCGAGATTTTACGACCTGTCACATTTCCAAGTAAAAATTGTTAGATTCCAATTTTTTGAGTGATATAAGACTGAGAAATGTCATATGTGCAAGTTGAAAAATGAATGGGACTGAATCGGCAACATTTCATAGCAATGCCTGATTTTGAACTTCTCAGTTAATTCATTTCGATTATCCATTTGCCCGATACTCAATTAAATTAATTCAGACTATCCACTTAATCGATATTCGGTTGAATTAATGGATTAAAATTTATATTTTTGTTTTAGTTTTTTCTCAGAAATTAATAATACACAATATTTTTCACCAATATATTATACCTTCAATATAATTTTATGATGAAAAATTCTAATTTCTGTTTCTCACTTAAATCTTGAAAAACTTTAAAAATGAATACAATATTTATAGAATCATTAAGAAAAATAGATGAATTCGATAACATGTTATAGCAAACGATATAGATAATTTTAGATATACAATTATGCTCGTATCGGATGATAGGTATGATCGTAAATCACTCAAAAAGATTATTTCCCATAGCATGCAAATATTCATTATTTAGTTTGCAGCTGTTTCACATATTCCGATAATAATACGATGCATAACGACGATTGCTCCGAAGGTTTTACCTGTCAGCAGTCAACTGTAAAGTATTTACGAGTGTGTTGCAATGATAACAACTCCATTAAACATATATAGATTGAAAACAAGTTCTAAAGTTTTTTTAAACTACAAATACTCTCATATTTCTATTAAAACTTTCACTGATCTCATTTGTATCAAACAGATTATTGTCATACCTATCTTTGTTAATATATGTTGATAGAATACTGTAATCCTTTGGTGTTTTTGCTTGTTTTGTCAAAAAATAGTATAAACAATTCAAATTTAAGATAATAGCAGAAGTAAATGTCATCTCCATGAATTAATCTCCCCAGAAGTATAACAATTACATCTAATTTCGCTTCATCAACATCCATCTTCGCTCAAATTCAAAAGATCATAAACAATAAATACCCAAGCAAAGTTAAACGTTTTTTGGAATTTACTATTTAAATTAATTAGTTCCAAATGACATGACTTAGCTATATTAAACCTAATTGTCGTTTGGAATTTCCTTTATATGATTTAATTCTTGTTACAGTAAAGAAATAAAATTAGAAATTAACAGTGAAAGAGTAGGGAAATTATTGTGAACTGGAAAACTGGCAAAGACAGAGCATAAAGATAAACGTCGACCAAATAGAGCAAACATGTGCAGTTTCATGGAGTAACGAATTCATACATGTAAGTTGTTTTGCTAGGAATTTGTGTGTATTTAATTAATTTCTCAACTTTCAAATTTGCTAGTTTTTCCACACAACTGAAAAAAAACCCTTTTAAACTCCAAAGTAATAATACACTATCAAATTTGCTAGTTTTTCCACACAACTGAAAAAAAACCCTTTTAAACTCCAAAGTAATAATACACTATGCTATGAAAATAAACAGAATCACAAACAACTCAAAAAGCAAAAAAAAAAAAAAATGGTAGCAAAATACACATTAAAACCATATCTATTTGTAGAACCCGTAATAACACAAAAAAAAGAAAGTAGAAAGAGGAAGAGAAAAGATGACAAACAATACTTTGGTATCATAACGGTTTCAGCTCCAAAGACAAGAAATTGACAAGCGAAGGACAGTTTATATAGAAAACAATATTTTCACAAGTAAAAGGATCATAAAACTGCATGGAATTACTTAAAATACATAAGCCTGAAGTGCTAAAACAATTCATCCCAATCGGCTACTGCTGTATGGATATAAGTAGATACAGGGACTTTCGAGATTATTGTGCCAAGGGATTAGACAGTACCATTCAAACCACGACAATGTAAATTTGAAGCAAACCGGTACAACCTGAACTTTTGACATAAACTGTAGTCTTTGTAAAATTTAAACTTTCAAATATCTAAATACAGTTGTGCCGTTTACAATAAGATAGGAAAGAAAACAATCGATACATATATCTACAGTAAAGCTGCTGCCTCAATAATGCTTGATAACAGCAACAGCAGTTACAGTTACAGAAATACATTTGACGAGAAAATTCTGAAATCAAAATGAAAGACGTATTTCCAAATCAGATAAAATTTCATTGTATAGTATCTCATGATTACATAAAATGATATTTTAGTTTTTTTCTGGAAATTAACAATAAGAGATTAAAAAAAAACAGCGTACAACATATTAAGCAGCCGATAAGCACAAAGCTGCAAGCTTACAACTTATGCTCGGTGACTGTTTATCCAATTCAAGCAGCTCCTTTTTTGATAACATCCATGACTTGCTGTTTATATGTATCCGACAAACCAGCTTGGAAAAATAACAGGACTGTTCCATCCTGAAAAACATTGAACGAGAGTTCCTTTTGTTTTTTTCTTTTTTTTATGAGATACATTACAAATGAAAATGAAATGATTCAAGAAACTGTATTTAAAACGTAGCAAATTCCATGAGAAATGTTTAAAATATTAAAACTTTCCTGCGTAACTTGATTTATTTTTATAACATATTATTCCGAATGACTATTAATAATCAGTAAAATCTCGCAGACTGTTAGGAATCTGTCCCTCTAAAACGTCGGTTTCTGAAACATTTCAAAATCTCAACCAAACAAACCTGCTCGGCACACTTCATAATTTGAAGGAGTTTTTTCAGATCAATTTTTTCTTTCTGTCGTCCCAGCTGATAAACCAACTTTGCTTTATTTAGCCATTGTTCTCTTGTATTTCCGATGACAGATGCCAGAACACGGCATGACAGATCATCATCTACAACGGTAAAATTTGTATTAAAATGGTGAAATTCGCCTGGGAAAAAATTGTTGTAAACAGTTTGTATAAGCAGATAAAAATCTAATAGCAAGTTTGAAGGCAATGCTTTGAAAACAGGATTTGTCAGACTCATTCTTGAGATTTTTGAACAACCGATCCTAGATATTTGAACCCGAAACTAAGTAGCAATGAATTGCCACATTAAAATGTCATGAACATTTTCAAGATTATCAGAAATGTTATAATCTTATAACTGAAATGGAAAATTACATTTCACCAAATGTAGTAATTAATAACATATGCTTAGGAAGAATTTCTGCCTACCCAGTATGAGTTGTTTATAGCGATTAACAATGGCAGGTGTGCTATATCTTGGTGCCGTACATTCCGGGTATGCAATCAATGTGAATGCACAGTCTTCGAAATCAAGCGATTTTCTGGGAGATAAAATTTCGATCAAATGTTTTGCCAAACTTTCATCAACCTCCAATATTTAACATAATTAGAAACACAGCTAGCCTTCACAACAATCTACAAAGAATCCTTTTTAAATTTATCGACTCATCAAATTCAGCAGAAAAAGAGTGGGCAATTGATAAGACATGGGTAACATGATACCTAAGAAATAAAACAAGCGAACACGACCGGACAATATGCCAACCCGTAGAAGTCAAGTTTTCCAAAATGCTGAGAAACTAATGATGATATACTGAACATAATGAATGGAACAGTTTACTGCTCTGCATTCCTCGCTTCTTTCAGTAAATGTATAACTACATTCGACAAACAGCCATGTTACAGCCAGAATATGTGCAACACTGTATGAACACGTGGTCGCGGCAAACCCCTTACATTATCATCCTTAGATGACGTGCTCAACGGCGGTGAAATACAGCTTCCCGAGGAAAGCGAGCAGGCTTCCCGCTCCTCTACTGCCGGCTGTCTCGAATTAATTCTGTTAAATGGTACATCCAGCGTCAAAACCACAATGTCAATTGCGTCAGGTGATAACTCGGTATCTTGAGGACATCCAAATAAATTAGATCTGCAAGTGATTTGATTTCAAAATCTTAAAAATCTAGTTCTTAGTATCGGTCATATATCGTCCCACAAATCCTTCGGTTTGGATAATTTTTTCTTAACAGTATTAAGACCACCAAAATTTTCTTTTTAATAATGTTGTTTCTTGCAGTCTGTAAAATGTTAAATGCTGTGGTAAAGAGACACTTTAACAATTGAATACATTGTGGTAGGTAATAAATAATACGTAGCGCACCGGGAAATGCTGCATTCAACACTTACATAAAGACATGTCGATATTCCTCTGCATATAACATACGAACGCAACCCAATGGCAACAGACTAGAAAGTGCAAGTAGAAAGCGTTTAGCTAGAATTTCATTATGACATTTCAGGACAATCTGGAAAGAAAATTTCAGATTAATAGGTATAACTACTGGAAAATACTAAAGATATTCTGTCCATAATGTCTGACCGCCATGAAGCATTGCAATAAAATAATTTCCAGGACATTTATCAACTGGAAATTATGACCCAATAAATAAACCCGCAGTTTTTCATATTTTCTATAAAGTAAAATGCAAATTAACCTGACCGCCAGTAACCAACTGTGTCAAAACAATTCCCAGGACACTCTGACCATTAATTTTCGGCAAATTTTCGAGCATACGTGCAATTTGTCGCAATGTCTCGAAGCAATCCAAACGTCTTGAACAACTTATATCGCTAGCATTTGTCTCGTTATCAACTTTCAGCTCACGTTCTTTCATTATGAGCATATCCTGTGTTGGCACTCCTTCCAATAAATATTCTTTGCAGAGACGTGTTTGTGTACGTAATATACAAACCATAAAGCTAAAAATTACACAGCGATTACCGAACAGAACCCACATTGTTTAAAATGCATGATGGAACACCATTATTAGCTCAGACGGATCAGATATTCCAACACAATGCCCCATAGATATGCCAATAATAAAGTTAAAAACAGAAGCGTTATCAATAATCACCATAGATAAAATGGCTCATAAAACAGACAGATGATTTCAGAATGGGCCATGTTAATTTAATGAAAACCCACGGTTTGATTGAACCGGCTATGAATCCTAGATCAAAAAAATTAGGATTAAAAAAGCCCTACATATGCAACTGTGTGAAAATATCTGCACGACCAGTGATTACAGCCAAACTTCGTGACGTGTCCAATTCTAGCTTGGTAAGATGAGAGCGCAAAAAATGCGCCGGCAATAGTGAGACACGTGATGCTGCAGCCTGCTTTAGCACTTCATTAGCTGGGTCACTTTGTTCACGGTCGAAAAACATGTTCGATTCCATCTGAAGACTTTCAGAACTGGGAACTTTTGGAAAAAAATCAAAAATGAAAGAGCCGTATAAAAACCATTCTATTCAGTGATTCAAAGTGACGAATTTTCCAAAAACAGAACTTTTAACACCGGCTATATGTAATTTCTTAAATGGATCTGGCCGACCATCCTTCTCTAACAGTGATACGAAATAAATTAGAAGTTTACAACTTGCAAATTTATTGATTAACATAATATTAACCTGTAAAAATCGAATGGCAGATGACATTGTTGAAACGAAAAAGTGATAATTGCTGGTGATGAATAATTTATCTATAGATACAAGGATAAATGAAAGAAAACGTGAAAAGCCCCGTGCTTTGCAATCACGTAACCTGAAATCACAGATAAAACATCACAAGAAACAAATTCCATTTACACACCACAGCGGCAGACTTCATTTTAAATTTGACTAAGCAGGGAATGTAAACCGTCGATACCAAATTATACCTTTTTACCAAGACTTACTGCGAAATATAGGGTTCCTTAATTCTATTATGTATTAACCATAACTAAAAATAACAAGCTATGCCAAGTCCAAATTAGTTGCATATGTGATGAAAAGAATTTCTCGAAGTAATTCGTCGATCTTTGAAAAAAAGAGCGACAAGCAAATATATACATTATATAAAATCTAAACTGATGAAACAAAAAAATCGATAAGTTTCAAAGTCAAAGTTCATAAAAATGTTATCGCTCTTTGCAAAGATCAAAGATGATCGATAGAACGATAAACCTGAATGTATACGACAATGTATAGCCATGTTCTTCATCGCCAAATAAAATTACACCATCCTTCGCCTCCGTATTTGCTTCTTCCCATGGACTTTCCCATTTTATTGTATTCTGCTGTGTCGGTGTAACACGCGATTTCATCGGACTTAGTTTAGGCGTATTATCCTTCGGAGTAGTTGTTACTTCACAACTTAACGAATGAAGACATGAGTATTTCACCAACTGAAATACTCGATCATTTAACGCAACCTGAAATATGTGCATAAGAAGCATCTGTAATTAAAATAACAGTTTAGCACTCTTTTTGAAACTTAGACTAATACGGAAAATCAATTTTGGATTTTTGATCTTTTAATAGCCGATTAATATTGTGATATTCTTTTAAATAGTTTGATACCAAGCGCAACAGAAAATTTACTATTCCTCTTGCTTCTGATAACTAACTCAACAGTGATAAAAGATAGGAATAAAATTTTATAGAGATTTTGGAGGAACTTGTCTATACCTGTGTAGTAATATAACTTATTCCAGCTTCAACATCATCCGTAATTAGACCGGTGCCATCAACGAACGATGTACATGCGACACAACGTAATTCCTCGGTCGAGTGAGTTCGAAAAGTCTCTGTAAAAAAACTTAGAACGTAATTGTTCGGTCAGAAAAAAAAACTTCGTTGATGACACATAATTATAAAGAACCTAAGCGATTATCTATATTACAAGGTTGAGACAATTTGCTTGTTATCTGATAAGTACACTGTACAGTTGACACGTAAAAACGTGAAGTATTAAGTTGTCAATTAAAACTGATTGCGATTATACACAGCAAACTCCCATTTTCCAATTCTCTACTTATGTACAAGCTGAAAACTCGCTGAACATTATTATCACTAAAAATATGCGAATGTTTAACAAACCTGTATTTCACCTTTGTTATGTTACTTATTTATGCAAGTTATGCGATTATGGCTGCGTTTGTCTCCCAAAAAAAAAAGGCTGCTCATTCATTCTTATAAACAAAAAAGAAAAATCATTACGAGTTTAGAATACCAAAAAGAATTTTTGTAAGAAAAGTAAAACTTAAATTGGATATCTAATGGGTTCACATCATACTTCACGTTTTTAAGTCAATCTTCACAAAATAAGCAGAAATTAAAAGATGAAAAACTAACTAGCAGAGACAAATGCTGGTGATCCTTTACTCGTAGTTGGTAAGCAATAATCCTGCCTCAAATTCTCGGGTATCGATTGTGTTGTCATCAATACTCGAGGTCCGTGAGTTTCACAAAAATAACACAATGCTAATACTGCTTGCATAACAGTATTTTCGTTTAATCTTATCAAAAATAACCAAAACCTAAAATTTGAATCAAATTATTCCTATTAACAATTCAATTTAGAGCAACAAATAACGCCTATAAATTCAGTATTGATTTAAAAAAGTAACACAACACATGTAAAATGATGTCAAAGCTTTTTTTAGCAGCAATGCAGATAAAAGTAAGTAATATTCAAACATAAGATATGCTAACAATCATACTTTAATGCGAATAATTATACTTTGAAACTTAGGAAGAGGAAATTTTGAACAACTACGATAACTGCGATATTTCAGTTCAGAGAATTTTCGGATCATTTGCTATATTAGGTCATCGCATCAAATAATCCCTGTCAATTTCCGTTATTTAGGACGATCAATATGATTAGCTATAGTTGAAAAAATAACTCGTATCATTACAAACCAAACACTAAATCTCGCTACATCACGATTCTTTTTTTTTTCATTTTATCTGTAGGAGCGGGAGAAAATCGGTCGTAAGTAAATCCCACGGATAATCAAATACTGGATAAGGGATTGGCGAATACGGGGGTATAATTAGGCTAATTTTTGTGCTCTGGTGTTTAATCGAATAGAGCAAATCAAACAATTTCAAAATTTTTCATAAACAATTACATTTCTTAAAAGGTTCTACTTTTATAAATGTCGCAGAACACCAATTAAACGGGCGTCAAAATCTTTCATCGATTGTAATGTTATTCAAAAATCATCTTTTCCTCATGTATGCTAATTGGTTCCAAGTCGCTAACTACACTGGGAATCCAACTTCTTTGGAGAAATTGCGAGGATATAAAATCTCCGGCACTCCATCCTTTATGTTCTATCTTCTCCACTTTTCCACATCGGTCATTGCGTTATCCTTTCCATTGCATACTGAAATCCCATGTACTTGTCTGACCAGTATTCCGTTTTTGATGACTGATCAATTCCGTAAAGGGAATATCTCCTAACTTCTCACTTTAGGTTGTTTCGGTTGAATCATTGTACGCTGGAAATACTACTGTACTCTAGTTTCTTCATTTCATTAAAACAGTTCACCGTTACTTTTAAATTAGACTAACAGAGCACACAATATAACAGCAACAAAAATTCGAAAATCAGAAAAAATGAAAGGGTAAAAGATTTCTTTTCCCTATTCATCATGAAATCCATAAAGAAACCTAGGAAATTCCAGCGAATGCAAAAAATAAGCCTTGATCAAGGAAATCTCAATTCACAATTACAATACAGTACAGAAAAGATTAAATTTATAACAACCCCAAGAAAAAGAAAATAAACTTCAAAACTTGAAGTTTTACATTTTTCAAACGAAAAATTTCACAAATGAGATTGTGAATAACGGCTATATTGAAATATGAACGAAGACATGAAAATTACTCAAGACAGTAAGAACGCAGGAATAAAGAGATAAAAATCTATGCTAACAGATATTCCATGACTCCTCCGAAATTTTTAACAATTTTCCAGACTTTCTAAACCTAAACATCGTCATCTGAGTTCTCTTCACCCGAACTACTGCTTTCTTCTTCGGTACTGGATTCGAACGTCCCTTCAGGTAATGAGTAAAGTCGTACTGCTTGCTGAAAATTAGAGAAAAAACTCAAGTCACTTTATTTGTACAACTGAAAAAATATCACTTTTTAACCAGGAAGGAGTACTTAGAAATCAATCTTATGATTCACAGATATGAACTATATAAAGCATATATATGTCAATAAGGCGAAGAAATGTGAGTACAGTTTATCAGAAGATTACAAACATACCGAAAAAAAACCTAGATTTATTACCTTCTGTCCTAAATAACTCTAGAAAGTGATGACTAATTATATGACTGAGAGATAAATTGAACCATTTAACCACCAACTTATATTCATTATCATTCTAATGTTGGAATATTGCGTACAAATCTCTCTGATCATTTTCTCCTTTCAACATTTAAAAAGACAAAATCCGAACCTTGTTTGGATCTTTTAACAAAAGATATTTCCCCGGTGGTTGCTTCATGCAATGATCAATGATACAGCGCAAAATGCCCCAGGCGTTATCCAAATTCAGTGTTATATTCGTTGCAAATTCAGTTGGCTTGTATTGTTGAGTGCCAAGAATGACATGGCTAGCACTATTGCGTATGCTCAGTCGTGAAACGTATCTAAAAGTCTTGAGATTATTTTCGAAACTAAATTTAATAGCACCAGAGATGTCACCGAAATAATAAAAAAAATGTCCAAAAATGTTAAAATCAATAAACTCTATCGAATTACGAAAGATTAATGAAAAAAAGCTACGTTTAGACCGAAATGTGAGGACTTCCACTGGAGCAACGTGTGCCTCAGTACCGACAATGAGCTTTAGCCTCATACGTACATCTCCTCTAAAATCATGTCAAGCCAGCCTTCCCTAAAACTATCAAACCTCCCGGAATCTCATAGTTGAATTTTCAGTAATCACTCCTCCTAGTTCTTGAAATTTCATCCTGAAAAATAGAAACCAACCCAAATTTAATTTGGTCTGAACCAGCCAAAAGTGCTTGCAATGTCCATTTTGCCAGTTTACAGCTATTATTTTGTAGTTCCGTAGCAAGTACTGCACCTTTCTGTGTGTCTAACTTACTTCTCCAATCGACACCACTGGCCATCTGGAAAGTTTTCAGCCTATCCTAATTTTTTTCATATCACATACTGTATTATTAGTGACACACTTATCACTGAATATTTCAAGATTTCATAATCATTATTTAAGTTCATAAATCGCATTCCATTTTAGCTTGAATATCTTCATGCCTATAGCTTAAATTTTAAATTTTAACCCTTGAATCCCATTCATTGAATGCTTTTATAGTCAACATTTGCGTTTCGCCGTTTGGTCCCGTAGTGACACCATCATGCTCCGTACGACAAATAAGACGAACTTCCGTACCATCTGCTTGACGTCCCAAATACCAAGAACGATACCTTCAATTTATACAATTATCCTCATAATTGTAATTTATAACTACCGAGTTTACGTTTATAACGATGTTCCGTTATATTTACATTTCTACCATCCATAAGTCTTCTGCTATATCCAGATGTAACTCCAGGAAAGTAATTCGGATTTAATAAAGAGAAATGGCGCAAACATAAACTGATAAATTTGCTTTAATTAAACACCAAAAAGGGGAGTAAATACTGTCAGAAAATTCAAGTAGTCTGATAAAAATTATCAGCCGATAAAGATCAAATGATCAAAACAAGGACATGAATGAATATAGAATTAGTGTGTGAATTTAAAGCACATTGCATCTTGAATTTCCATCAAAACGCTTATAAATAGAAAATGATGAAAGTGAAGTCAAGATGTCAAGGACTGATTGCGTTGAAACATTAAATAATGCTACTAATTCTAGCGAACCAAATCTCAGTTTGTTTTCAGATTGCTATTGAAAGCTGGTATGTTAATATTCAGAAAACACACAAAAACTAACTTGTATGCAACGCATGAATCTGCATCCGAATCACCTTCATCGAATGGAAGACGTGGATTATCATATTTGAAAGGTTCTTCGTTCTGAAATCCGATTAAAAATTATGGAAAATAAATAATCGCAGTACAACTAGTATTACTTGTCAAGAAGAGTGTTTTCAAGGTACTGTAAACTCACTCTTTTGAGTACCATACGACGAAAATTCTGATTTATGTAAAGAGCTTCTGTAGCAAGATTACGCGGATGATTAATACTTGTGGTATCGTCACTATTTGGAGCATCTGGCGAAGTTTCGCTCACTGTTAAAGCATCTAAAATTCGAAAGCATTGAATGTGCCTGCATACTGTAAATGGTAGCTGGGACAGTTACTTTTCTTGTTATTCATTTGGCTAATCAAGTAAATGCCATGTCAATTAAATAGGAAGAGATGTTAATTCAACTGAAGAATTGTTCAAATATTGTTGTCGTGGATACTTCGAAAGCAATGCAAATAACTGAATCATCTTTGCCGGAATATACCATCGAAACGGCTTATACCAAGAAGTATGTTTATTAGGTAGGATTATCAAAAACAAACGAACTTACCAACTGGGTTTGAAAAACCACCCGTATCGCGTTTATCAAAGAACAGCTTATCACCAACACGATAAGCGATTACATCCCAACTATATACTGATCGTGTAGCTGCCATCAGCGTTGCTAATATCATATCTGTTGCAAAGACGTTCCCAGCATTTTCTTGAGCTAACTGAAAACATTATTTTAATTATAAAATAACGCGGTCGATTGGTCGTTACTGATTGTATACGACAATTTGAAACTGATCTTGACATCCAGTGAAAAATACATTAACATTTGCGGGAAAGAAATTATGTAATCAACCTTCTGGATTACAGGGTCCTCGGTTGTCGTTAAATTGTAAAATGTACCACCACAACGTTGCAACGGTTTCTCCGTTCGTACCGTAACACGATCAAACGCTTTGTCATAATAATAAAGTTGACCATAACGATGACCATTTCTGAAGAAATATTAGTATTAAAAAGTATTTTAAAAAAGTATTAATATTAATATTAGTATAACTGCAAATTTTGGAGCTTCATCTCTTCTAGCAAATCCATTTCACTCGAGATTTATTTCCAATCAAATGAGTTATTTTAAATCAACATTTATCAGTGTGTTGCTCAATGTGTTGTCGTCAGTGTGTTGCTAGGATAATAAACTAATCAGAACGTACATATCTTGGCCTGATTCAATGTTTGGTAGATTAAGTTTTGCAAGGCGTGGGAAATCCATTTCTTCCAAAACTTGCCACTCGGGACGTACAGCAATACTTGCAGCTAACTGTTTTTGGTTACGTTGATCCCATCGACCATAACCTTGCCCACCACGGCCACGACCACGCGTGCCACCTCCACGCCTTTGCCATTGCTTGAATGCTTTCTGCTGTTCTCTTTAAAAAAAAAAAATCAAATTTTCATGCAAAAGCTCAGCTTTTGTGTACAACAAAAAAAAAGAAAAAAAGAACAGTTCCATTTTAACTCACTTTGCAATGCTACGTTTAATCTTTTGATTTTGCCCATAATTTGCTTGATTTCTTCGCTCATTCTCTTTTTGCACTAACCTTCGCTATAAACAACATAAGAATCATGTAAAAAATTAAGAGGCATGCGGATCTCATTGGTTAATAAACGATGCTTACTTATTTTGAAAGTAAATAATCCTTACCTACACATTAAATAAAGATATAATTTACTATTATTGATTCTTCTTATTATTATTAACTCTTTTTTAAAATTTTTTCCTATTATTAATTCTTCTTATCAATAGTGAGTGAGTCACATAACTCACTCATTATGTGCATACCACGATTTGACCATTATTTAGTATTTTAATTCTGCACTTTAATCACTTCACTCTATATGAAAAGTTTATAAAAGTCAGATAGTAATGATAGCGGTAACTAAGAATTCTGTTTTGAAAACTTAAGAAGGAAATTCGATTAAACACTAAACCAATCAACTCAGTGATTCATTATCAAAACATCGATCAATAAAATTTTAGATTAAATGACCATAGAAGAAATTGGTTAACTTCCAAAACTTCTTTCCAATTGGTTATTTCAAAAAGGTTTCAAAAATCTTAGAAAAGTAGTCAAATAATAAAAAAAAGTTGATCCTACATAGAACTGCTGCTGCTGTCGCATACGGCCACTTTTTTGCATGTTCGATCGTTGCGGTTTACTTGTGTCGACGAGTTGAAATGTCGCATCTTCTTCATCGTGAACATAATCATATTGCGAACCAACAGCACCAGATGTATATGGATTACCATATCGACCATCGCCTGAAAGTAATATCAACCAATACAGAGAAATTTTCGTTGCTTGAAATTCGATCTAAGGCATTCTGCTGCTTGCAGCAACAACAGCTTAACCAAGAACTAAATGAAACAAAATCGGCTGCACTTTATTCCAAGTATCATACATCTCGATTGGTAAAACGTTAAACATATATCCATTCAGCTTGAAATCATATTAACCGAAATGTGGAGAAACGGCATAACATTACCCTTGCAGCAAAATGTAAACTTCTGCATGATTTCTCCCTAAATTACCAATTTTGCTATCCGGATATCCACAAATCTGAATAACAAACAAAACGAGTGATATGTCTCAATCCAGTCCAATCAAGTTAAACTGATAAAAAAAACTCACGTCTAAACCGATCGTTATATTGCGCAACACCGATCCAATCAGCTACTTTACCAATTTTATCTGCTTTATTGAATTGCTGATATGGCAAATTCTGAAATTTATCCAACGTCCCAACAGGTCCCCAACCATTACGATTATCGAACACTTCCGGTAAATCGAATAATGGTTGATCTTGCTGTAAACCCATACTTGGTGATAGCTGACGGATTTTTTGTATAGACCTCTTATTATTACTGAAATCATTAATTAATTGGGTGCCGAAGGAAAAGTAAGACCAAACAGAAACGAGGCAATATTATGTAATGTAAGGGAACACGCAGGAAGTAATACTATTAAGTAACTGATTAAAAATTAAGTAACTCATGAACTATGGTAATTAAGGGATAAACTATGAACTAGTCAAATGACATAACTTGGACCTAGCTACAGAACTAAGTAATAAGTTTAAAAGAATGAAAGGTAAAGTAAGCGAAGTAAATGAGAGGCATTCAATATTTCAAATTCAAATTCAATAATATGACCAAATTGATGTCAATAAGACCTAAGTAATATAATGGTAAATTTCAGCAAATTTAAATCAGATATTGGATAAAGCAAAGCGAAATAACAAAAAATTAAGTGAAAAGATTTACATGCAGAAAACATCAAGCGAAGGTATGAAAAGTACGATTAACATGAAACTACATAACAAGTCCACATAAATGAGACTCAAAAATACAATTCTTAACATTATAGTTACGTAAATAAGCCATGAAGCTGTGTAAACGCGAACTTGAGCACCACTCAAATTACAGTTAGTCCATACTTGCGTGACTTGCATAATGTAAGAAAACAGCATTCTAGCCATTCATATGGAGTGCTTGACATCGTCCTTCGAAATGACTTTCAACACTCAGTGACTTACCCCCAAACCCAGCTCTAAACTGGAAACTCGTTTGCTTAAAAACCACATAAATTAGTCATCTCTTCATACCTTTTTCATCCCTGCAATATATCTTATACCTTTTGGTCATAATGATACGATAGGATTAATTCTAGCTTTGGTTCAGATAAATAAGAGACCAATAAGTGTATGCATATAATGACATAGTGTAAGTTACGCTTAGTTGAACTACAATTAACAATTAAAACCAATTCCGAGGTCAGAGGTCATTAAAGGGACATCTCGAATGAAATAAAGTAATAGGCAAGCACTGCACATATTACACTTCCAAATCCTGATACTGAATCACCGAACAAAATATTTATCAAACCACCTGCGGGTGGAACCAAATGCAGGATAATAAAATATCCGACCAGTCAACGTTACATATCGTTGTCAGGTTCGTAGCAAACCTGAAATAGGAGGAAATTAAAATCAAAAACTGATCTAATTAATTATGGATATGGTAGGATGATCCAATTAATTATGGATATGGTAGAATTCACCAATATGGTTGATGATATAAATTGTCATCATCATCGGAAATCTTCATTTTCAGTTTTTAAATGTATAATAAGTGGCTGCTAATTCAGAGTAAGCCAACGTTTCAAATCGAATTCTCTGTTGTTTTAATGCGGCATTTTCGCAGTAAGTATTTTGAAATTGGAAAAATATATAAACCATCAGATTCAGAGAATTAGAAAATTTGAAATCTATAAAATTTATTTAATCAATTTTACACTAGCTCTTCCACTTATGGGGGGTGCCGTTTTTTTTTTCTCTCTTGATAATAGGATAAAATAACTAATAACTTGAATCCTAGAGATTTGAATACTTGTAATGGATAAGTTGAAAACTTCAAAAAATCTTTACGGAAACTGATTTCGAGAGTAACTCTTAGAAATAGGGAAAATGTATATTTGAAATATGGCGGATTGATATTAGTTAGGCACGTGATAATTTTTTTTTATTCAGTATTTGAATCTTTCAGATTCTCAAGTCTATTTTCAGTTTTTCAAATTTTTGAAGTTTTCGGCCATTTTTTTTTTTTTTCTTGCTTACAACGATCAGTGCATCACTTTTAAAAATCATGCAAAACGTGAAAACAAAAAAAAAAAACTGAATAAATAATGGAAGTTACTGCGTATGAGGTAACGGGAAAATAGCAATCGAACAAATTAATCGGATAACTTCATTTATGAAATGGATTCATTCATGCAGTGAAAAAAGATGCAAATTATTTCTTGATTAACATCTAGTTGTTTTAGAGAGAAAAAGTAAATTGTCCAAAAAAGGTCGATCCAGGTATATGAATTCCATTTCTTTTTTTTTTTTCTGGCGTAAATTAAATCCTAAAATAGGGATATGTTAATTATCATGCAAAGAAGACATCGGAATGCTATATAATTTAATACTATTAAGTTATTTGGAAAGGAGGATTAGGACAAGACTGGTTTGATCCATTGGTATTTTTTTTTTTTAGCACTTTGCAAAGTTTAAGCTAGGTTATAGTCTGCCATTATTGATTCTTTCACGTATAACCTCGCAGTTTCTCTCTTTTTCCTTGGTCTTATTTAGCTTGACTTAAAATATCTCCTCATATTTTAAGAACTAAATTTTATTTCTAAAAGCTAAACATTGCCGTACTGAATGCGATAGAATACTGCTTATCTTTTAGGTTTTTTTTTTTCCTCCTCCATCATTTCATCTTTTTTTCATGGAATAAACAAAACATTCTTATTTTTATCTTCACTACATAACTATTAAAGGTCATATTTGAGTAAGCGTGAAAATGAATAATCTTACTTAAAACTATTATTGCGTTAACTTCTTAAAAGTATTGATTTTCTAAAATGACTGAGTTTAGCAATTTCGATAGTTATAATTTGTAATTTAAGTCTTTACATTTTTTTTTTTATATCGAATCTGTAATTTCTAAAAATGAAAAGATAGCTTTAATTAAGAAGAAAAAAAATCGATCCAATATTTTGGACACTTTTTTTTTTTTCTTTAATCAACACTAATTCAAAGGGGAGGAGAGAGAAAATTGGAGGAAAAGAATTTTTGTAGTAATAAAAAAAAGATTAAAAATTAAATGTTCCACTTATAACAGATTCTTTTTTAGTGATAAATTTAAACGACGAAGCTGGCGAAAATCACATCGCAGGTAATTTATAATAAATGTAAGATGGAAAATGAAAAATAGAAATGCATGCATGCTTCATGGTTGCATTCTATTTTTTTAACAATAATTCAGAATTAATTAAAATTTTCATCTTAAATTAGCCTAAGATGTTGCATTCATTACTGTACCACCCATCTTCTTTCTTCTTTCCTTTTTTTTTTTTTTTGGCTAATAGAAATGTCGCATACAAAAGACACAAAAGTGTTTGAGAAATCTTAAAATAATTTGCAAAAATTTTTTTTTTGATATATCTTATATTTAGTCATTGTTATTTGTTAAATTATAATATGAATAAATTAAGATAATTATTTGTTTAATATAATTTTGTTTCTTTGAGGAAACAAGCAAAACAGGATGATGAGGATGATAAAACTGAATTTGAACAGGTGGAAGTAGAACGAAAACCGGCACACAGTAGAGTGCGCAGTAAAATAAAATGGAAGGAAGGTATGGAACCGACTAAAGATGAAACCAAAACAAAATCAGTAACAACATCAGAAGGATCGACTACGACAACTTCATCCACGTCAAACTCTTCTACGATTTCTGCTCCTACAATTTCTTCCGTCTATTTACCGGTTATGCTGAAACCGGATGTTACTTCACAACCATTCATGATGTCGAAACCGGATGTTAGTTCATATGTTAATTTATTTACAAAATATAAGTAGTATGTGGCAGATTACTATAATCGCTAATTCCAAAGATTATTTAATCATGGTGTTTAAGCTTCATTTAATTCCATGTCGTTGGTACTTACTCAATCAAGTTAATCAAGGTACTTACTCAATCAAGCCCCTATCAATTCATAGGATAATTTTAGATGATTCATAGTTAAGCTCTCGAAAACTTTTTGTACTGATGGGAAAAATTCGATTCCTGAAATGTTGTGATCAATAACTGCATTGCATTTGTTTGAAGAATTATCTTGTCAGCTTCGAGGTTGCATAAAGGTTCTCTCTGTGAAGTTTCGGATCTTAGATTCAAGATACCTAGTAGTTGGACAATCGACTTTCTGAGTTATAATAATCATGTAATTACAGCCAAAGGAGATTGATCGAACATATGCAGATGAGATCTCAGTCTACATGATGGATTTTGGAAAGACAAGGATGAAAAAAAAGAAGTTGCAAGTGGTTTCGATTCAAAAATTTCACCTTCAACAACTTCGACGAAGTCTTCATCACGTGATCTGGTGGAAAAAGCTACGAAGATTCACCGAAAAAAGATGAAGTCAGTGAAAGAAGGTAAATCAGAAAAACCAAAAGCAAAGCAAAAGTCAATGAAATTATCAATTTTATCGTCAGAAACCGAATCAAAGAGTCAATCCAGAGAATCAGAAGCAGAGCTAGATTCAGATACAGGCGTGAAATCACTGACTAAATCGAATGAAACTGTTTCGAAACAAACAACTATATCACTCACTTTACCACCAGCGCTATCAAAAGAAACCAAAACGCAGCAATCATCTGTAATATCAGTGCCATCAGAACCTGTTGTAATACCAAAAATGCAACAACCATATGCAATATTATCGCCATCAAAAGAATCTAGCACAACACCAGAGGCGGAGCAACGATCTGTAGTACCAGCGTTATCAAAAGAATCCATAACAGTGCCAGAAATGCAACAACCATCTGCAATACTACCGCCATCAAAAGAATCCCTAACGGTAGAAAAAACGCAGCAGATATCTGCAATATCACCGCCATCAAAAGAATCCCTAACGGTAGAAGAAACACAGCAGATATCTGCAATATCACCGCCATCAAAAGAATCAATCGCAACGTCAAAAATCGAAATCCCGACCCAACCATCTTCATTGCCTAAATTTCTTGCAAAGCCAGAAACTGAATTCTCGACTTCACTGGCGCCATCACCAGCAGAATCCACCAAGAAGTTAGAAATCAATGTTTGGGCTCCGTCATCTTTGCCAACAATGGAATCTGTTTCATCAGAACCAAAAACTGAAGGCATATCACTAGCATCCGAAATGGCAAAATCGACAACTGGGACGTCATCCATACCGCTATCATCGAGTAACGAAGAGTCGAAGCCAACATTAAAGTTAACAAAATTAACATGTAGTGCAACGAGAACGCCGACTGAATCAAAGCTAAACAATTTGATGGAAAAGGGTCTGCTGTCGCTTGAAATCCGTCAAAAGAAAGAAATGGA